AATAAGGACTTCTGATACGGGCTAAAAAAATTTCCAAGTGGAATGGCTTACAGTGAAGGAATCAATCTCGCAAGTATGAAGAAAGCGTCACTGATTTTATGTTTTTACATCGTTTCGAACATTGCGCCAAAAACGAAAGCCACAATATTATGTATCAACTCAATCTAACCGCTATTCGAGTGACACTTAAAAAATTTTGTCATTATTATGCAAAAGATGATCGACCGATGTGCATAGCGCACACGAAATCATCTAATTACCTTTGTGATCGAGACTTATTTGATAGCAGGTTCTACCGCACAGAAGCAACTAACTCCTCCTTGCTATTCAAAGGTGCTATGAAAACAGTTGAAAACAAATCGCACCTCCGAAGTCACTCCACACTTCGCGATTCTATCGAATGATGGTTGGAGTTTCCTATCCAAATAATAATGTGCGTAACCATCGAGTGATACTATAACGAGCGGGGGATGAGGTTTCAGAAGACTGAAAAGGAGACGACATTCATTTCAACGACTTTCCAGGCAAGTACTGGTTCCCTCACTCTGGAAACGAATAGTGAACACGACGCAGAACTTATGAACAATCCTATACACCTGCCTTTATCTGGTTGATGGGAAGCAAGAAAAATCTCTGCTGAGGGCAAATTGGCAATTTCCCGAGCAAGCACAAACTTTATAAAAAGATTAGTGGTAGCATACGACACCCACTTCATTTGATATTATAAAAAGGTGAAATGAAACACTGTAGTTACGAATGTAATATAATACTTTATTGACCAAATAAGCATTCAACTCACTTTGGTTTCGAGCATTTCCGTGAGCACTCGTTACTGTGGGTGGTGGTGGAAGCAAGTAGGAAGTATGCAATCATTGCGCTTGCTACGATAATGATTAACAAAACTGAAAAGTTTGCTACCCCAGTAAACACGCTCACGATCTCCAATTATTCAGTACCACTAAATTTATGTGTAAGTGAGTGAAAAATAGACCTGGAACAATCAACGGCTCTTCTGAATTTGATTTTGCCACTGTTGTGAAGAACTTAGCATTCACCTTTTCGAAGCGACGTACTTTTTTTCTTACCTGCCAATATAACGAGATTCATTACTCTGGTGCGGTGCCGTCTGGAGGTGCTACTGCTGGATGTCTGCAAAATAAAACTATTTACTTTTTGCGGTGGTTTTTTATGGAGAGTTAGTACAATCAGGAACAAAGCCTTGATAGTGTCCTTGTCCTTCCCACTTTTCTCTCCACACGCTTAGAAGAGAAACAAATATCGATTCGAAAAGTAGCGTTTGTCTTCCTACAACGTATGAAAGCTACCTTTTTAGTTGCACCTGCAGCCTCACGATAACTGTCGACAGACTCCGACTGAAATTATAAAACCCACTTTAAAAACAGACTCTGGATGGAAATATGAAACTTCGCTTCTAAATGCTTTCAAAATGCCAGAGGAGGAAAAATTAATCGCGTCGGTTCGAATTTATGCGATTTCTGGCGGGATCGCCTGCCAAAAATATGGTAGCAAAGTAACTAGATAACGGAAATTACCAAATGAATTGGAACCGATGAAACTCTACAGATATTCACACGCATACCAACAAATAACAGCTGTCTAGGCATAGACATGGTTGCACGCCATCTAATTCAGAGACAGTAGGAATTCGCAAACGCTCCTCTTTTACGGTGGGACACAGGGTTTCCTGCGAAACTCTACTCAGCTTTGTTCGAAGACTTCATCATAGCAGCTGGGTGCGTTTGCTAGGGCAAGTTCCACTGTTTTGCAATGACTTATGGGTGGACTTCGGTGAGACCCAGGAGAAAGTTAGGAACATTAGCACTGCACACTAGTTTTGAGTTTCCATTTTTGTAACCCGATTGTCAGATGAATGGGTCGGGTCTCTGTTTTTGAGATGATTCTTCGTCCACAGCATTATCCTTTCCAGATGTCCCTGAAGTAGTCCTGAGTATGCGGTCAAACGTGAGATACTGGTTGAACTTTGGAAGAAGTTGGGGCTGTGCATCAAACCAAGAAAGGAAGCTGAATCTAAAGACAAACTGGTTTTTGAAGAACAGGAAGAAGAACACTGTTCATCCACCTGTTTGCATGATTTCGACATTACACTCAACGTGGAACTTGTATGATAGGTCAACCCTAGGATAATTGGCAAGAACGATGTAGCATAGATGGATGGCCCACTTTTTCGAGGTTTCTAGGTCTACAAATTGGCCTCCAGCAGTACTTCGACTCTCTGAGTACGGGCATCACATTTTGCTCGAAAACAGCTGGAAAGCGCGCACGCTCTGGTGTGCCTCAACTTTTCTGAGGCCGAGCAAGCTATAAAAATCCCTGTCATAAACTCAA